CTACCGTTAATCCCACCTCCCTTCCCCTCCCTGTCCCCCCCCATAGTTTCCCCCCACTGTCAATCCTTTTCTTATAGTATTAAGGTAGTTGTTCAAGGTCCACTTATGAGTGAGAACATGCGATGCTCAGATCTTTGTTTCTGTGAGAGATCACTCAGTATTATAAGCTCTAATTCCATTCAGGTTGCTGCGAAATTTATGATTTTGTTCTTTTTTATGGCTGCGTAATATTCCATTGTGTATATGTACCACATTTTAAAAATCCAATCCTCTTTGGATGGACAGCATGGTTGGTCCCATGATCTTGCTATTGTGAACAATGCTGCGAAAAACATACATGTGCAGGTATCTTTTTTATAGAGTGATTTGAGTTCTTCAGGCTATATTCCCAGTAGGGGGATTGTGGGGTCATATGAGAGGTCAATACTTAGAGCTTTTAGGAATCACCACATTGCTTTCCACAGAGGTTGCACTACTTTACACTCCCACCAACAGTGTAGAAGTGTTCCCTTTTCACCACACCCTCTCCAGCATCTGTTATTTTTTGAGTTATTGATAATGGTCATTCTGACTGGAGTTAGGTGGTATCTCAGTGTGGTTTTGATTTGCATCTCCTTGATGATTAGTGAGGCTGAACATTTTTTCATGGATCTATTGGCTGCTTGTATGTCTTCTTTTGAGAAGTGTTTGTTCATATCTTTTGCCCACTTTGTAATGGGGCTGTTTGTTTTTTTCTTTTCAGCACATTTGAGTTCCTTGTAGATCCTTGATGTTAGGCCTTTGTCAGACATGGAGTTGGCAAATACTTTTTCCCAGTCTGTGGGCTGTCTCCCTGCTCTCTTGATGGTTTCTTTGGCTTTGCAGAAGCTTGTCAGTTTAATGAGGTCCCACTTGTCTATCTTATCTCTTATGGCCTGTGGGTTTCGGGTTTTGCTCAGGAATTGGAGGAAGACAATTTTTCCACAGACCTGGGCAGGGTGGAGGTGGGGAGGACGGTTTTGGGATGATTAAAGTGCATAACATTTATTGTGAACTTTATTTCTCTTATTATTATTATTAGTTTTGGGGTTGGAGTCTCACTCTGTCACCCAGGCTGGAGTGCAGTGGCACACTCACAGCCACCGCAGCCTTGACCTGCTGGGCTCCGGCGATCCTTCCGCCTCAGCCTTCCAGGTAGCCGGAACTACAGGCACGTGCCACCACGCCCAGCTAAGTTTTTTGATTTATTGTAGAGACGAGGTCTTGTCAGTTGCCCAGGCTGGTCTCGAGCCCCTGGGCTCAGGCAATCCTCTTGCCTCAGTCTCCCAAAGCACTGAGATTACAGTATTTCTATTATTATTAGGTTGTAATAGGTAATGAACTAAGTATACAAGTCACCATAGTGCAGAATCGGTGGAAGGGAGCTCTGAGCTTGGTTTCCTGCAACTAGACAGTCCCATCTAGGGGCGATGGGAGACAGTGACACCCGAAATGTGTTGCAGTCTACCTGTAATCTCGTTTTGGTTGCAGTCACTACAAAAACCCTGCTTCACAAAGATAGGATGCTAGAAATGGAAGCAGGCTTTTCAGTGTTGATCTGACAGGAGGTGGAGCTCAGGTGGTAATGTGAGCGATGGGAAGTGGCTGTAAATACAGATGAAGCTTTGCTCCCTGGCCGGCTGTTCACTTCCTGCTGTGTGGCCCGGTTCCTAACAGACCACGGATCAGTATTGGTCTGTGATTTACTAGATTCATTCCCCAGGGTTGCTGTAACAAATGACCACAACTGGGAGGCTTAAAGTGACAGAAATTCATTCTCTCACAGTTCTGGAGACTAAAGCTCTGACATCAAAGGCGTTGATGAGGTTGGTTCCTTCTGGAGCCTCTAAGGAAGAGTCTGTTCCTTGCCTCTCTCCTGGTTCCTGGTGGTCGCCAGCACTTCTTAGTACGTCTTGGCTTGTAGACACATCAATCCAGTCTCCACCTCTGTTGTCATGGAGTTCTCTTCCCTGTGTGTGCAAATCTCCCTCTTATAAGGACACAGTCAGATTGGATTTGGGGCCAACCCCAACTTTGTATAATCTCATCTAAAGATGATTACATCTGCAAAAGCCCTGTTTCCTAATAAGGTCACATTTATGAGGGGAACCCCCCCCAAACTGGAATTTGTATATAAAAAATTGCATGTTTATTCTGACTTGTTGAAATTTGAATCACATTTAAAGTACTCTTGGTTTGATGTAATACACCTATTGAGATGCTTTTTCTACCACTCAAAACAGTTTTTGAATGTGTCAATTTTGGTGTCTTTTAGTGTTTCTGCCTTTTTTTTTTTTTAAGTTGGAGTCTCATCCATTGCTCAGGCTGGAGTGCAGTGGCACACTCACGGCCACCACAGCCTCGATGTGCTGGGCTCAGGCGATCCTTCTGCCTCAGCCTTCCAAGTAGCTGGAACTACAGGTGCACGCTACCACTCCTGGCTAAATTTTTTTTTTTTTTAGTTGGAGTCTCACTCCACTGCACTGACTGGAGTGCAGTGGCATGTTCACTGCCACTGCAACCTCGACCTGCTGGGCTCTGGGCATCCTTCCACCTCAGCCTTCCAAGTAGCTGAAACTGCAGACGCATGCTACCACGCCCGGCTAATTTTTGATTTATTGTAGAGGCGAGGTCTCACAAAATTCCCTGGGCTGATCTCCATCTTGCGGGCGCAGGCAATCCACTCACCAGGGCCTCCCAAAGTGCTGGGATTACAAGCTGAGCCACCGAGCCCAGCCCAATTTTTTGATGTATTGTAGAGATGAGATCTCACCAAGTTGCCCAGGCTGTTCTCAAACCCATGGGCTCAGGCAGTGCTCTCACCTCGGCCTCCCAAAGTGCTGGGATTACAGGCTTGAGCTACCATGCCTGGTCTCTGCCGTTTTTTGTTTCATCTCTTCCACAATGGCAAAATGTTTCCCTTTGAGGACTTTTGTTATCCAGGGAAACAACAAAAAAAGTCACTCGGGGTGAGACTGGGTGACTAGAGGGGGTGGGGCACTGAGGTCATGCTGGTTTTGCTCAAAAACTGCTGAACACTCAGTGTGGTGTGGGCAGTTGCACTCATAAGTCACCCATCATGAAATAAGCAAACACATTGAAAAGAATCTCCAAAAAAATTCACTGAAGTCGAATGCAGCTTCTCACAATAATGCTAGCTGGATGCTGATGGTTCCGAGTACACTTACTAGTGGGGTAAACCTGTACTACAGGGGCCCACCAACCAAAAAATAATTCTGTTTTTTTGGGGCTCCCCCCTTGTATAGGCACCAAGGGTTAAGACTTGAACCTTTTGGAGGGGACACAATTCAACCCAGAACACTACCTAATACCCACTCCTTAATCTGGCCAGATTATCTGAGTTCCCTTAAACACACAGGGAGTTGGGAAAATGGTAACTTGCAGCCCCTTAGTGCAGGGTCCTGCACCTAGATTGTGCTTAGCAAACATCAGACAAAGCCTAATGAAGCTTAATTGTGAGGCAAGTGACCTGGTCAAAGGGATTCCACAAGAGCTGAAAAAGAAGGAGTTTGTTTTAAGGGTCAGTTTAACACCCAGGTGGCAAATTTTAACACTGAAGCCTAAGTAATTCCATTCTCAGGGGCCCCTCCGTTGGAAACTTGATAACATTGTATGACAATCACGCTGTCCTGGCTTGCAGTGGTCAAAAGCAACGAGTTCTGGGCTGCTTATGTTGTAACCCAAGTTGTGAGAAGAGAGATTTTCTGCACAACAAAAGGTCACATTTTGAGCCCTTTATTGCCGGCAGTCAAGAGGCGGCTTGCACTACCAAAGTCTCTCGACCCCGAGTGAAAATTTCAGGGACTTTTTAGAGGCAAACCAAGGTATTACAGAGATAGAACATCTGGTTTTGGGTTAGGTAAGGGCAGGCAGGGGTACAACTCAGATTAGAGCACTGGGTGGGTACAAGGGTGTTGGGGGGTAGTTTACACGCAAAAGTTAAAATGCTACATCAAGCCGGGCTCGGTGGCTCAGCCTGTAACCCCGCGCCTTTGGGAGGCTGAGGTTAGTGGATTCGAGACCTGCGGGTTCGAGACCCGCCTGGGCAACTTGGCGAGACCTCATCTCTACAATAATCAAAAAATTAGCTGGGTGTGGTAGTGCGCGCCTGTAATTCCAGCTACTCGGAAGGCTGAGG